GGGATGGAGTTCCGGAAATGTAGGGATCGTACTCCTAAAACTCTGGAAGTGGAGATCTAATTTATTCAAGAACATGATCCTAAAATTTAAAGAACGCGTTCCGGGCAGTATCGGGAGCGAGTTCCATTGTAAACGGGATCGAGAATCCTTAAAATAAGAACGAGCTCCCAAAGAGTAGAAAACGAGTTCCAGTCGAGATCGCGACTACAGAGCGCCGGACCTGCATTCCGGAACGAAAGCGCCACCTTAGTTGGGCGCTCCGGGCAACTATGGTCCAAATAGTGGGGCTTAGTCCCAAATAGTGTGGCTTAGTCCATGGGAGTGTCTAAAGGGAGTCTGTGCCATCGGAGCCCAAGAAGTGGGTTTTCAAAATGGAAATTATATATTACAAAATTATTTCTAAATCAACGAAAAATTCGTTGTTCTTTGCGATCTACGAAGAGTCACCATCTAGGTATTTCCAAATCATTGATGGTAAGAGATGAACCGCTCCTCTTCCCAAGGGCACATAAATTAGGCTCATTTTGCAAAATTAATGCTAAAATGCATCAACGACAATAAAGTGACTTTCGCCGGTGCCTCAAATAGCCTGACATAAAAGTAATCGACATCATCATCTGGGGCAGGAGATTTATGTGCTCATGTGGAAGTATATTATATTCACTCCTTTCCGGTAAAACTGTAATTAAGGGTATTTTAGGACCCTAAATTATTGGGACGTAACTTCCTCGTCCCAAACAACCACCTTAGAATGAAAATAAAAGAACATATGTGCTATACATCCCTATTATTGAATAGAGATAGGCCAATTTTCGGATGATAAGATCCAAAGTGATAGACCTCAAAATTGAAACCTTTTTAAAATATGGGATTGTATATTGGAAAAAGTTTATGTAAAGCCGAAGCTTTAAACAATCAAGCCCATCTAAAAAATTTCACTGAGAGATATTGTTTTAATGCCCAAATATTGTCAAATTGATCATCTCAACATCAAGATGCATATACATGAGAAAAAAATGGATTTCAAGTTTTGGAAATAGTGTATCTTGTAACGTATTTTTGGACCATCAAGTTCCATGATCTGCTCGATCTACATTATTTTTGAAGTACAATTTGAAATCTAACTGACAAAAGTGATTGTGACCTCTTTGTATTAAAAATAAATAGTCTATTTATATACTTTTCCTTAAATATTAATATCACAAAGATTACCAAATTTTAAATCCAAATACATGTCCTCATTTATTGTACAAGAGGGACGCACACAACAGAGCATCCGTGGTCCGCTCTAAAAGATGGATCGGTGGTGATAAACATCCATAAGGAGCTATATCAAGTGTGTACAATAGATTCTCCACCGACCACTTTATAAATGGACGGTAGATGCCCTACATGAGTATTTGCCAACCTACACATTATGTCCTAGTGTATTGCCATTATACAAAACGTAAGAGTGCAATTCCTATAAGGTGGCAATCTTAGTTATAAAAATAAGGTTATGGTGTTCTATGCTGTTCATTTTAGTTGACAATATAGGTTTGGCAATTTCTCTGGACATTGTAAAAAACTGGTGCATCTTTTTAAATAGTGTCAAATCTTCATCGATCATAAAAGATAGAAAGCGTAAATTAATTTATAAGTAAGATTGCAACTTTATATCAATATTTTCGCATTCCAAAATTTTGGTACAAGGGATAGGCTTGAGCTTAAATTAACCATGAGTGAAAATGCAATTTGAAACATTGTATCTCACTTTAAAGCACCAAAAAGAAAAAGTAAGATTCTATTGTACTTGTTGCCTCAAATAAAACCCTAGCCACTAGTATTTTTAGGTACTTAAGATTATATTGCACTTGTTGCCTCAAATGAAACCCTAGGTACTAGTATTTTTAGGTACTTAAAATTTGGGTAACCCTAGCTACTAGTATTTTTAGGTACTTAAAAATTTGGGTAAGTGGCCCACTCAACCTAGTGACTAACCTGAACAAAAGAAAGACATTTTGAATATGCACTCTAGAAATGCCTAAAGAAGAAATGGTATAGAACTGAACACAAATTAGTTCACTGTTAGACCTAGGTGTTCAAAAACTCAAAAATAATTTTGTCTTTGAAACATTCACATGGTGATAGTGATTCTAAACTGCATCCGAAAATTTTAGTCTTAAAAATCCATAGGAGCATACATAGTATGTGCCCCATAAAAAAATTGGTAATAAAAATCTCCGTTTCTCATGAAACCACGCCAGGTCCATGTGCTATTGTACAAATTTAAAACAAACAAAATCAGCTACTTTTCAGACATTAGAGAAATTTTTTCAAACTTTGTATACCATCCAAGCTATCAAATTTCACATTAGATAGTTGTAAGTAATTGTGATTACCTTGTATCAAAGGTAAATTATCTCCTTGTATACAATCTGTTAAAAAAATGTGCAATTTTTATACGGCCAAGGCTTCATGAAAACAAAGTAAAGCTTCACCTTGAATCTTCTTCTAGAAAGCATTTTGGGTGTCAGAAATCTCTACGATGGCACTAAAATCAATTCATAATACCCAGTATAAAATTTGAAGCTCAAATAAGGGTGAGTGCGTTTTGTATAGAGCCTAGGCTCTAAACAATCAAATTAGAGCCTACCTTCAAATGATATCGAGAAATGTTGTTGCAATATTGGAAATCTTTATGATAGCCTTAAAATATTTGTTTATATTTATTTATAAAGTTTAAAGCTTCAAAATTAGTGTAGATCGACAGATTTGTGAAAACTTGAAAATCGTGAAAATTGAAGGTCCAAAATACATTACAAAATACACTATTTCCAAAACTTCTATCCATTTATTTTTCTTGTGTCCATGCTTCTTGATATCGAGATCTTCAATTTAAAGATATTTGGGCATGAAAACTAACCTCTTCTAGTAAAATTTTTGAGGTAGGCTCAAATTTGATTGTTTAGAGCCTCTGTTTTATATAAACTTTTCCCAAAAATGGTGCATATCTTGTGGATATATGAACATTTATTTTCAAGGTGAATAGATGGTCAGGATATTGTATGTATATTACTTTTAGGGTTTGAATATCTAGATTTTTTTTTACAATCATAATGGTTAAGCCCAACAAGATCTACAATTTCTAGTGCGATTTGAGGTAAGACTTTATTTATTTTGATGAGGCAGGCCGCAAATGTTTTTTTGCTTCTTTGCAATCACGTCGCATCAACATCATAGTTAGCAAGTTGCCGTTAAAAACATGACTTTTTCAAAAAAGACACCGTTTCACTGTAATACTTTTTAAATTGCATTATTTTGAAAATATCAGGAAAAAAAAGGTGTTATTTTGATACAAATGTTAAAAGCACGCTTTAATGACAATTCAAAAAAAGGGTTAAAAAAAAGCTTCCCATTCATGCATCTAAATCCATTTTTTTTTTTGGTAAGTTATATATATTTATATCCTTCTATTCCAAAGAAAACCATATTAAAAAAACTTTGGCATCCAATTTAAATTTTTAGAACGTGCATTCTTTATCCATTCTATTTTGAATTTTTTTGAATAAAAATATTCTAAAAAAATGTCAAGTCAAATTCAAAATTTGAGGTTTTCTTATAATCATTTTATCCTAGATGTGAGGTTTTTATTTAGTTAAAATTCACATTTCTATTAATTCTAACAATCTACCATGTCCAATAAATTTTAATGTTGCCTTTCATATATTTAAATTTGAATGTAGTGACTCTGTTATGCTTTATGATTTTTTTTCTCTTTTTACATTATTTATTTGATGGTTATTGTAAATGTTATAATTTTATAGAGTAATGATCCTATAGGGCCCTTCCCCACCTATGTATGTTGGATCCCAAATGATCATCAATAAAGTTAACATGGATCTCTAAGAAAGTTATTACATAGGTGTGGAGTTTGACTTTTCTACAGATCCGTGCCAAATTTAATGGTAATCATTTGGGATCCTATATACATAGGTGGGGAGGGTTCTATAGGATCATTTCTCAATTTTATATTGGGAAAGGTTTCTATATTTCCCCTATAGCATAGAAGATCTACACTTCCCCTACCATCCAGCTGTTCAATTTTGATCGAGAGAGCCACTCTCTATTTAATCTTAGATCCGACGTCTTAAAGTATTTTATTTTTAGTTTTTTTATACAAATTGAATGAATATGAAATTTGGTAGGTGTCATCTTCTAATTGGGACGCACCTATAAAAAATATTAAAAATAATTTTTTGATAAAATACAATAGCCAAAGTACCCCTGAAAACTTTTAAAGGTATCTTAATCATTTATTTTATTGAAAATATTTTTTATATATTTTTCACTATTGTGAGTTTAATAGAGGATTGGATGTCCAAAATTTGGTATCAAAATAGTTTATAAAAATTAAAAAAAAAAAATATAGAGACATGACATTGTGATTGAGACAATCTTTGCCCTCCATTCAAAATAGACGGTTGGATAAGAAGAAATATATAAATTTTATGTAGTCGGGGAAGCAAAGAAAGCTTGCCTTCTTATATATCCAATGTTTTTAGTCTGATTTTTTATCCCGATCCAATATGTTCACGACATGTTATTTTCAGTATTTTTACTGATCCATATTTTTTATTTAAATTTTTACATCCAAGCTTTTTGAAACAAAACCGATTTTATTTTAATTTTATAGTGAGTTAATATATATTGTTATTCCCGGACTTGCCATGGACAAGATCAGCGAACCGCTTATCATGGCGAGCCAATTCCGCCCTCCAGTTCGACTCGTTGCCGACCGGCTCGTCTCTACAGGGTCCGTACTTTGTGATCCGAAACGTGAGATGTGGCACTTGGTCCACGTGGCCGTTGGCAATTGATCTAAGAAAACCGTTAACGGAACTAACGTTTCCCGTCACTCAGTACTTAAACCTCGAGCATCTTCTTCGCCTTTCCCCTGGCACTCATTCTTCCTTTACTGGCACTCATTTCGCCTAAACAGAGGTGTCGACGTGTGCTTTAAGAGCTAGAAAGTTGCTCATGGTTTAACGCTACGTAACGGAGCGGTAACGTATGGGATCTCGGTCTCAAATAAGACAAGAAATGGACAGCATGTGCTTTGGAGGTGCATTAAACAGTCCCCTCAAGCTGTGGATAGCTTCTTGTTTCTCGCCATTTTTTGGGCTCCTGTGGCTCTGAAACTAGGGTTTTTTGGCGCCTTTGATTGAGACGAATCATTTGAAAGGAAGGGATTGTAGAGATCAGTTTGAGATCTTTCGTTTGAGCTCTTTTTTGAAGGATCTGGTGCGAGCTTTTAAGGTTTTATTGAATTTCGCTGGTTTCTTTTTCTTGATTGGTTTTAACGGTCGAAGCCGGTTAAAATACAGTCGTTTCAGTGTATTTGAATTGGTAAAAGTATAATTGATTTGAAATTCTGTGCAATTAAGTTGTGTTATGGCAAAAAACTTATGGTCACGCCTTTTGTTGAAGGTTTTTGGTTCTGTGTATTGCATCTCTCTGTTTTTTTACGTTGAATTCAGTTTAGTGGAGGAATTTTCTAAATGAGTGCAGTTTCTGCAATGCACTTTAGTTAATCACAGTGCGTCAAGTTGTTTAGTACATACAGGTTTTCCTTTGGTTTTGAGCTATTCCACGGTAGTGATAATTTGATAGATCCAGTTTGTGAAGTGTTTGTTTCCTGTGTACGCATGTTTTACGTTTTATGAATTATTCTTAATCATCTTTCTCCGGACTGTCGTTTACTGGAGGAATTGCTTTGAAGAATGAAGTTTCGGTTGTGCATTTGAGTTAATTTTGAGTGTAAAACTATTTCTGTGAAATTTAGGCTTGGAGCTTAATTCTTAGGTTTTGAGTTATTCTAGGACGAATATAATTTGATCCCTTTTATCAAGTGTTCTATCATTTGTCGCTGTTGGAAGTCAGCATTTGGGAGATTAGGATAATTAAGTTTCGTTTTCTTTTAATTTGAGTTCATTTCCCAGGAATTTGAGTAATTTCACTACAGAAAATCAACCCGCATGAAGTTTTATTTCTTTGAATTTGACTTCATCTTTTCAGAAGAAAATTGAGTTCGTTTTTGTAGATATGAGTGATTTCTGTGCACGAACTTTCTGATTAGCTTTTAATCTCTGATATTTGAAGGGATCGCTTCATTGATGGAGAAATTGAGTACTTTTTAGTTGATATGGGATTTTTGGGATGATTTCTGAGATATTGTATTGTACAGGTTATTTCACAGCAGGGTTTGGAAGGATTACCCATTCGCTTGTGTTTGAGGGTCGTTAACTGAGGAGTCTACTTAGCAACTCCAAATATTGTCAGAGTAGTTAGTTTCGGTGAACTAAAGTGGTTGGCGATTAGTAAGTCGATATCACTTAGTCATCCGGAAAATGCTGATTCATCGATGTACAAGGTATTATTCATAAAACTAAATTTGTTGAAAATATAGCTTCCCAATAACAAAATAAAAGAAAGGATATCTGGTTTTAGTTCTCAAAAAAAATAACGAAGGGGATATCTGGTTTCTGATTGATACTATTGGAATTTTCGGCTTTGACTTTCGTTTATGTACTTTTGATATTTGATGATTCTCATCTGTTGAGCTTAACCACCTGAATCAGTAGTTCAAACATCTTTTTTTAATATGCTTTGGTTCGTATATATTGAGCTTGAACTTGACAACTTTCTTTTTGTATTGAGAACTTGATCTTTGTGCACTCGATTGGCATGTTTCAAAATTTTTGTGATTCAGTAAATATTTGCAATGTTCTCAATGAAATATGCAAAAAAATTAATAGACCGAGCACTCTGTGAAGTTTACTCTTTGGTTGTATATTAGTGGGATAGATAGTAAGAACTGTGCATCTCTAGATGGCATTTTGGGCTTTGTGACTTTATTTCGAACTTATACTTTTTGTTTAAAGTTATTTGGAACATATGTTTAAATCTTTGTTATGGCACGCAATTGATGTGGATCAACTGAATAGAAATCACTCTTGGACTTGATTTGGTACTTTTTGCACGAAGGATATTGGAATTCGCATCAGTTGCAGCACACTTGCTATTATAATTGGTATATTTTGTTAGTAAGACTCCTCAATCGTTATAGATGGAGTTTTATACCTAATATGTTACTTAGTGAAGCTGAACTGCCAAAAAAACTGCAGCATTAAAATGATACTGAATGTTCTTACTTGTAATAAAATTCAAAATATTTCAAGGGATGCCTGATTCAGATGGACATTCCAACTTAATTATGCTTTTGTATCAGTTGGATTGGGATCATTCAAATCTGGTATTGATCTGTAATGAAAAGAACAAGATAAAGGAAGATAGGTAATAGGAATAGTTATGAGATTTTTGCTCTCTAAACTTGAATATAAGAATGGTGCTCCCATACACATTTTGTTTCAGCAGTTTGAAGTTCTGCTTTAAACTTACACAACCTCTTGGTTCACGTATTTTCCTAGGAAATCAAATACAGCCTGAATGTTTATAATATGGTTCAAACACCTCACATATATGGGATTTTCAGTGTTAGATTTGCTCTCAAATGGTATATCTTTGGAAATTTAGAAAGTGTCCAAAGATATATAAAAAATGTTAGCATACTCTGTCAGTTTACGTGCGCTGATACGATAATTTGGTTTGCAGATGCTAAATGAAAGCAATGTTAGGCATATAATGGCTGGAGAAATCGAAGATCCTATGAGCTTTCAGGTTTGAGCTCATGTCATACTACTTGGAACTCATTGATGTCATCTCTTTCTGCATAACTATCAAGCAATATTTTCATCTTCAGGCAGCTCTTATTTTTGAGTCTCGTTATTAATTGGTGGTGTCCTTTCCGTTGTCATATTTTTAATCTTAGACACACAAAGTCTTCGGAGGATAGCCTTGCAAATCAGGAGTTATTCTTGTTGATTTTTTTTTGCCACCCTGAGTGCCTTTTCCCACATTTATATCACAAAGCCTTTCTGTATTTCCTTTGAGTAAAGAATCATAGCGAATCCATTATTTTCAATATGTTTGATATATCACTCTGCTACTTCTTTAATGTGCCACTGATCCTTTGCTGTGATGGACAGGTGGAGTATTTGCCTACAGGTTCCATATCATTTGGAAGGTTCGAAACAGAATCCTTATCTTGGGAGAGGAGGTCATCCTTCTCCCATAACCGTTACCTTGAAGAGGTGGAAAAATGCTCCAAACCGGGTTCAGTTACTGAAAAGAAGGCTTATTTTGAAGCCCATTTTAGGAGGAAGGCTCTTCTGAGGCAGGCTTCATCTGACTGCCAAAATGGAGTTGGGCTTAGAGCTCCAGAAACTGATGGTCACAATAACATGAACTGCATAAATGATTATGAGGATCATCATCTCGACGAAAATCATCATTCTACTGATTTTGATGTTACCCCAATTGGCTCAGAGAACTACATAAATGAATATGAAGAGCATTGTCATGATGAACATTACTATTTTGACATGCAGAATGGATGGGATGAGGGTAATGTAATGAAATGTCCTGTTGTTACTTACATTAAGTATGCTATCTTGTATGTGTTTACATCGGGTCATCAAAGATGCTTGGGTGGTTGGGTGCATGTGTTCATGCCTGCCTGCTTGTGTCTGTCTATGTGAGAGAGAGGGGGGCGGGGGGGAGTCAACACTGTATCTACTGTTTCTCTGAATTATCCATCTTTTCGCAGGTAATAGGAGTGATCCAGAGGCACGTGAAATTGAGGTCACAGAATGTAAAAAACAGGAAGAGGAGGCTGGGGAAACTTCATATGAGGTAGCGTCTCAATTCGACAATACCAATTTTATTGAGCTTGAAATTCATCAAACAGAACCAAAGGAAACTCAAGGACTTGAGTTTGGAATGGACACAAGACAGCTAATTAAAGAAGATAACAGGACAGAGGCAGAACAAAAATCGTCTTGTGAGTCAAACTTTACAGGTGAGGTTGTCGAACTAGTGGACATGCTAAAGGAAAGGTTGGATAGTGTTAAGGTTTCCTCTCAAAGCTCCGAAAAGAAACCGGCTCTCAAGGTTAGAATTATCTATTGCATCAATTAGCCTTTGTCTTCTATGTCTGCTCTTGCTGGCGTCTCTACATAAAAAGTCATGCATAAAGTGCAAAAAATGTACCATAATTGATGCACTATGGATAGCCATAGTTTAGAGGGTCATGATGATTCGAAATGTTGGACAATGCTGGAGAGAGAATGACCCATGAAACAAGACAAAACTCCAGTGGTGGATCCCACCTCTCAATTTGGGATCCATTAAACCACAATTTTATTTTAAACTCTCTATATATCGTTGTTTACATACATCTATTCTTCCCTCTTGTTAATTTAGCTAAGTGCATCCATTAACGGGTGCCTGGTTTTGCATCTAGCAAGGTTGTCCTGTTCATTTTTTGGCAGTATGATGTATTAGGCCTTATTATTAAAATAGCGTTGTTACACAATTATAACAACTATATGGCCCTTTTAAAGGCGATGGAGAGAATTCACAAGCAATATGCATTATGTTCATGTAATGTCAAATGGTGCTAACATATTTTCTCTTGTTTCACAGGCTAAGAATACAAATGACCAAAAAGTTTCTAAGCCCAAGATTCAATCTCCAAGTCCAATGCCTGCTACTCAAAGACAACAAAGTAATCCACCAAAATCTTCTCCAAGGACTACTCCAAGGGCCTCAAGGAGCTTCGCAGGAGAGACGCCCGTTAGAAAGAAAACTGAAGGATCCTCTATTATTTCCTCGGCGAAAGCAAAGCAATATCCTAATGTACTTGAGAGTGCAAAGAAAAATTCCACTCCCGAGATTCACAAAGTGAGGCAGCATCAAGCAAAGATATCCCCTAGATTGTCTTCTCTTTCTAAAAATTCAAAGCCAGAGGTAAAAATTTTGATGGAGCAAATTTGTAATTGCCTTCTTTTTGTTTTGTGTTTTAAGTTTAAAAGTTGCTGTTCCCATGCAGGAACATGAAGCTGGGAAGTCTAAGACAAGTAGAGATAATAGAAGGTCTCTCTTTCTTCTCTCTCTCTCTCTAACACACAAACACAACCGCCCTCTTCCCCCAAATTAATAACCAGCAAAAATAAACTGCTTGGTTAATATGTTTTTTTTGTTGCGTATCACAGAGACAAAGATGCAAAGGAGAAGAAAGTCACTCGTAGCCGTCAATCTCCACATGGGAATGGAGAAATTGAAGGCCACTCATCTGCCAGAAGGTAATCTTGAGTAAAACTTGGCAGAGTATATCTCCATTGCCATGTTTATATTTAGAAAATGGAATGAATTTACAGGCCTAGAAGGATTATAGCTTCAGTTAAGCGAGAAAGTAAGACTTGTCAGAGTTTATCTCCATTGCCATGTTTATGGTTAGAAATGTAATGAATTTACAGGCCTAGGAGGACTGCGGTTAAGCCAGAGCTGCCAGACTGCAATGCAAGCAGCACAAGCTTCAGCTTCAAAAGTCACGAAAGGGCAGAAAAGAGGAAAGAGGCAAGGATTACGCTACTTTTCACTTCAAATTGGTGGTTTTTCATCCAAAAGATTTTGCTGATACTGAAAAAGTTCTCTGATTTTTCAATTAAATGGTGGATTAATCTGATTGGTTCAGTTCTATATGAAGTTGGAGGAGAAGTTGCACGCTAAGGAGGCGGAAATGAACCAAATTCAGGCGAGGACACAGGTATGTGGCGTGATCAATATGTATTTATATTCTTGAGCTATGTAATAGATTCTGGTGTTTGTGGTGTGAAATCATTGGAAACCTATCAGGGTATGTGCTTATTCAGCCAAGAATTTGTAACAAATATTCTTGGTAACGTCTTTATTGCTATTCCTTTGAATTATTCTTTAAGATTTTTTGGGTATTCTTTGATTCCGAGAGAGGCCATTTTTAGTTTGTGGTACTGATTGTGATTTGTGAACTTTTATCTCTGGTGTGTGCACGTGTATGTTTGTGTGATTTCAATTGCTGAAGGCTGATTGCTAAATGCAGGTAGAAACAGAGGCAGAAATAAAACAGCTGAGGCGTCGTCTTAACTTCAAAGCGACCCCAATGCCTTCGTTCTATAATGAAACTACTGTCCGAAGTCCTGATATTAAAAAGGTATTGTTCACGTAAATGTAAATAAATCAAGGTGACTTATACTCTTCCCCAAATAAAAAGGAAAACAAAAGGCTGATTTAGTCTATGTTCAGTAATAAAATGATTGGCAGCTGAGTACTTGACTGATTTACGACATTTCGTGCCTTTAGCTATTTAGCTTCTGGAGAATAAATAGTCAAATTATTTATTTGCTCTGGATAAAACTGCATTAATGTAAGAATGTAAGATTATCAGGTGTAGTATATGATGTCTTTGCATGGTTGTCTCAACGCTGGAATGTGAAATGAAAGCTGGTACACTTACAGACGAGAGGAATTTGGGTACTTTTGGATACTGGGGGGAAGGAGCTCAAAAATATGGTTTTTGAGATCTTGGATACTGGGGGGGAGGGAGCTCAAGTTCTCTCTCTCTCTCTCCCCTTCTTCTCTAGTTCAGTTGCGATGGGTTCTATCTTCATATAATCTCTCTTAATTTGTTAGTTGAGAGTAATCTCATGTTAAAAAAACAATCTTTCTGATGCTAACTGATGGTTCTCTCTCTCTCTCTCTCTCTCTCTCTCTCTCTCAAACAGAATAATCCATGCATCCATAGAGAGCTCATATATCTTGAATTGCTTTCAGGTCCCTGCAAGCCAGGCCAAATCTCCAATGCCTGGAAGAAAACCCATGAACTCCACGGCTTCGCAAGAAACTCCACATGTATCAGCCTCACCTAAGACTCGAAGATCAGCCAAGGCTAATGCTTCGCAACAACATAGTCATGGCAGCAAGGCAGCTACACTGAAAGCAGATAGGGTGCTCTCTAAATCCGGAGCAGGCAAAGGCGAAGCCATGAAACGTAGTATTATCGCTGGACGATCAGGATATGGTCATGCTGTCAGTGTGGCCTCGTGATTGCATGGCTTGGTTACACATCTATGGGTATGTCGTGCTATGGGAGTATGGGCTGCCCATGTACATTTACATGTGGATTCATGAGAGAGAGAGAGAGAGAGAGGGGTCAGTGCAGTTGGGGAGCAGTAGAATTTCCCCAGAGAGAGAGAGAGAGGTCAGCACAGTTGGGGAGCAGTAGAAAATCCCCATGTATTCAAATTCATATGTTCTGGACAATTTACTTCTTTTTTTGAATTCCATTTTTTTAGAGTAAGGAACGCATGCTAGGGAGCCCATTGTATTTGGTCAGTCTGTGTCAGCTATAGTGCAAATTTTATTTTATTTTGAAATGTGATGGCCTATCTTTTGAAGTTGGAATTGCAAATGGTGGCCATTTGGATCTCATCCTAAATTAGGTTTTCCCTTAAAAGTTCAGCAGATATGTGAATAATGGACATATTTTGGGTTTGAATGAAACTTTTGTTGGCAACAAAATTCTTGATTATCTTGCTGTACTAGAAGAACCTGTGATGAATGCATGCGTGATGGTTGATATGTGAAATTACGAGTCTCTTGCATTTTACAGTTATAAACTCAAATTACCATGGGTGATGTTAAAAGTGCACTACTGTTTTCATGAGGAACTTCAAGAGCAGAGGACTGAAGCATGGAGGTGAATGCAATTTATTTTATTTGTAAATTTAACTGAAATTTCATTTAATTGAAATTTCATGGTGTTCAACAGAGATAATATAGGCATCTCGCTAAGTACCCAGAGTCACTTGATTTTGTTATGGGACTCGGAAAACATTGCCTTAGTATGATAGAAATCGGCATTTGTGACTAGCCATATGGTTACAACATTCCAACTATTCAGTGAGATTGGTGGTGAAATTTTGAGGTTGCTTTCCTCTGTCGGTTCGTCCTTCAGCTATGGTATTGAGTATTGACTTCATCATGGGCAATTTCCATGACGACATTGTTTGACCCGTGGCATTCACAAATATGTTAAGCGAGGCTTGAAACCATCGTTGCTATTCTTTTACATTGTTGTATTACTTTGCATTGAGCCTGTAGATCGCAATGATCTTGTTGATCTCACTGTTTCATGTGGTGAATCTTGCCCTCTCGTAGCCTCTGTAATTAGGACATATGTATTCAAGGTTTTCGGAATGTCGAGACCACGGATTTGCTTCTATGTCTGACCCATTAGAAAAATGTAACCTTTTCTCTTGAAATGTCGCTTTAAACCTCCCTCATGATGCAAAGACATGTTTGAAAGCCTCACGTCAGTTTTGGGGTTGGCATTTTTGACACTCAAGTTAGATATTCACATACATACTCGTGTCCTCATGGCATACCTCTTAAATATTTTTTTAATTTTTTTGAACTTTTTTGATATTTTTATAAAGAATAATGATACTATGAAACCCTCCTACACCCATGTGAGTAGGACCTCGAATGATCACCATTAAATTTTGATATAGATCTCTAAAAAAGTTGTCAATAAACTCATTCACCCAAGTCTCACACCCATGTGATAACTTTTTTAGAGATATATGTCAAAATTTATTGATGATCCTTTGATATCCTATTCACATGAGTGTAAGAGGGTATCATAGTGTCATTACTCTTTTATAAATCACACGATCTTCATAGTGTCATCTTTCCATGAACTTGATTTTTTGTTTTTTTGCCTGCACTCACAAGTACTCTGGGAAAGAAATTCTTAAGCCACTACGCAATCCGAACGTTGTCTTTAATTTTGATACTTGATTCTTGAAGGAAAAATCTTGTTAACTCATTAATTGGTCATAAAGTTTCTGTCCGATAGCCTGGATACAAATGGCATGCACTATGGTGACAATCAGCATATCAGGCAGTCCCTGCAATTTAAATTCTCTGAAGCAGTTCTCAAGATATATTGGCATTTGGGTGATATCACTTCAAATTCAGTAATTCAGACAGGCATCTCTTGGTGCAATCAAGTCACATTTTTGGTCAATGTGAATATGACTCCTATCCTACTGCATCTTTGAGACATGGCAAAGCAAACTCCATCGACCATCAAGGCTATGCCATTACAACTGCGTTATTAAGCTCAAGGGGCACTTTCCTAATCAAATCCTAACCCTCACCCTCATATTTCATTCCATCTTTTGATAAGTGACCTAACATTCCGAAACTCTTTCCCTGGCATCCAAATGGAAGTCATACAAATTTATTGGGATTGTTTATAAAGAGACCGTTTATCTTTTGTACATCAAGGTGACAATCAATCTTATCCCTTAAATTTCAAAATGGGTGATTGTAAGCGTTTTATTGAATAGACACAAAGTTCCCAAAATAAATTTTTAAGAATAAGTAATCTAACTTGCAAAAGCCTGGTATTAGGCAGGTTTTGAAAGAAAGACCTATGTGACCTTTTATCAAGGAATATAATTTATTTTTTTTTTCCTTATATTTCACCCTTTTTGTTTTGGCAAAAGATCACTTAAAGGTGGTTTTATTACAATATCAAATACATCAAAAATAAAATCATAACAGTATAAAACAAGATCTTAATAACTTGATGCCATTGAAACAAGTATGTATTATGCTTGAGAATATAAAGATAAAATTGCAAGAAATAAAAGTAGAGGATGTCGTTGATTACTTCAACTAGGCTTATTACACCCCACATTGGGTCACCATCATCTGATGATTTGGAACGGTCTAGCTTCAATCTCGAACCGGAAAAGCAAATTTCGGCCAAATTGTTTATGCACCCTTAAATCCTTACAAACTCAGAACTAACACTAAAGTATTTTGGCATATCCCCACATTACCCAGCCCTTAGAATGTTTAGGATGAGAGAGAAATATTAGAGCCCTAGGGTTGGGGCACGCCCTTTTATGGGCTAGGAGAGAGAGAGAGGAGAGGAGAGAGAGTAAGGCTTGCCTCTATGAGAGAGAAGAGAGAGAGAGTTGTGGGAGCTTGAGAGAAAAGGTGTAGAGAATAAAGGGCGGGCGGGGGGGGGGGAGGGGTTAACACCCATTTTTATAGTGCAAAATTAGATTTAGGGTTTCTCATAGTTTACTCTTTTTTTTAGATTGAATATGAAACGTTGATCAGAGTGACTTGTAGGGTGAGAGATCTGTTTCATCCACTACATAGATGGGTCATCAACATTATGGAAGGTGCATAGACCATATCCCTCTTTCCTTAACCATTTTCCTATCAATAGAAATTAAATATATTAAATCTAATTAAAAGATTTATGCATTCTATAAAATAACATAATTCTTCTCATACTTTCACAAAATCTTCCAAAGATATATCAAGTCAATATATACTTTCAATATTTAGTAAATATATGGTCAATATATTCCCATATCATATTTGACGACATGCTACAATACAATATTACCAAAACTTGATATAAAGAAAGGAATCCAAAGGGCGAGACGTGCCACCCATGAGAGGCACATGTGGGCCCCAGTTTCTAGATGCATGGTGGGTCCATGTGCACAATAGGCCCTCATGATATTTTTTTTATACATTTTAAAATCAATAAAATAATTTTTAAAATGTAACACCCATTTTTATAGTGCAAAATTAGATTTAGGGTTTATTAGGGTTTCTCATAGTTTGTTTTTTTTGTTGAGATTGAATATGAACCGTTGATCAGTGAGTCATCCACTCCATAGATGGGTCATCAACATTATGGAAGGTGCATAGACCATATCCCTCTTTCCTTAACCATGTTGCTATCAATAGAAATTAAATATATTAAATCTAATTAAAATATTATGTATTCTATAAGATAACATAATTTTTCTCATACTTTCACAAAATCTTCCAAAGATATATCAAGTCAATATATACTTTCAATATTTAGTAAATATATAGTCAATGTATTCCCATTTCATATTTGACGACATGCTATAATACAACTATTACCAAAAATTGATATAAAAAAGGAATCCAAAGGGCGGGACGTGCCACCCATGAGAGGCACATGTGGGCCCCAGCTTCTAAATGCACGGTGGGCTCATGTGCACAATGAGCCCTCATGATATTTTCTTTATACATTTTAAAATCAATAAACTAATTTTTAAAATATTATTTGAATATTATACTTTTATAAAATCAATATCTTTAATTTTATAAATCCAAAAATTATAAATAAAATATCAAATAATTCATAAAAATTCAAATAATAATTCTAAAATAATTTATATCTTAAAACAAATATAATTAAATTAATTTGATGGGAAATGGATCTATATGGCTTAGGAATTTAATCAACAACCATGAGACACTTCACCTTCAACTATGGACTACAAACCACACTTGCTTTGTCGAATCGATCCAGTATTTCTCATGACCTACAATCTAAGTAGGGGCTCATTAACAGATCACTAAAGTCTGGCCGATGAGCCAAGAGTTCGCAATCCTAGTCTATGGATTACAGGTCTTCCCTTAGAGACGAGTCAAAGTCACAAAGACTTGATACAACCATAGCTCTATGATGCAGAGGGGTATCTCTCACACATGTATACGCTTCAACCTAAAAGGTGATTTTTGCTTTCCATGTGATGGATCATGGATGAGGCTTTAGCCCCCGTCTTTGTCCGCCATCATCACAGAAAAGGTTCACACAGTCCCTCGGCTCACTCATCCAGGCATAAGCTTCGACCTCATCAAGGGATAATCCATAAGAACCCTTGCGGTTTATTCTCTACGCCCAGATAATATGGGTTTTTTTCAACCGACTGACTTAGATCGTCATGCACAGTCTGATATCAACAAACCATCAATTGCTTAGTATGATCTACGAGGGATCACACTCCCACTGAGTTCATGTTCCAGTATATCAAATGTTTTTATTACACACTCACAAGGCCTTTAAAGACCACATAAACCCTACATCTCCCATTTGGCTTTTGAAGGCAATACATTCTATCTTCCTCACTTTCTCTCATCCCCATCCCTCTCACATGTCTTACAAAAACATTAGGGGCAATCCCCTTAATCAGAGGATCCGCAATCATCAGATCTTTGGATATGTAGCTAATCTCGATCTCTTTCAATTTCATCTCATTTCTTAGGTGATAGAAATATAGTTTGATATGCTTGGAATTCTTATGGAACCGGGGCTCCTTAGAAACTCAAATTACCGCCGTGTTGTCGCAGAAAATCCTCACTGCCTCACAACATACAGGATGAAAGTTGAGATGATTAAGAAACTTCTTAATCCATAATGCCTCCTTGGCCACTAGACAGCATGCCACATATTCGGTTTCCATGGTGGATAATGCAACTATATAATGTTTCTTTGACTTCCAAGAAACTGCACCCCCTCTAAGCATAAATACATATTTAGATGTAGACTTCGCATCATATGGATCCACGAGAAAACTTGCATCTGAATATCCCTCTATTGTTATTTCAGTTCCCCTTTTGTATATGAGCCCGTAGTTCATGATCCCTTTTTAATATTTGAGGATTCTCTTCACTGCT